CCGAAAAGGAGGAAAACAAAAAAATCTATTTTTCTCATTATTATTTGGCTCTAACCCCTTCACCCCCCCCTCATCCCGCCAATCACGCCAAAAATTGAATAAAAAAAAAATCATCATCATTTCACTTTTACCCCTTCGCCCCCTCCCCCTCCCGCCGACAACTCTGGACTCATATTATCATTTGGCTATAACCCTTTCCACCCCCCACCCCTGCTCCTCCCGTCGCCACACCAAAAATAATGTTAAACAACTTAATATCAACAATAATTCCACCCCCCCTTATGTATTTATTGAGTACTGAATGGACTCAATGGTAAGACTCGGAAAGGTCTTAGATTTTGCATCTTAATTTTGCGTGCATCCAATTTTTTCGCAGCATCTTAGACCTCACTCTACTTAAACCACCTTGAGAATCTTAAACTCAGATTCCACTTGAATCTTACATTTCGGATCTTATAATTTAAGATACGAAATAGATCTTATTCCTGGTTAAGACCCCTTCAGTATCTTAATTTTCATAAGACGTCGTCAAAAGATCCGAAATATATCTTATTTTAAGATTTTTTTCCAGTCTTATAGTCTTAGATCTTAGTTTAAGAGCCCTCCTAAGAGCCGAATTTTTGTAGTGCAGAATCGCGTGATTAACGGAGTTAATCACCTCGAATAACTAATAATAACCGAGATTAGTCCGAGAAATCTCCGCGGAAATTTCCGCGGAAACCGAGAAAATCCAGACAAAAGTTGATGCCTAAAATGTTATCTCCATTCGTCTTTTATTTATAAACACTCGTATAAACCTATCTACAATTGGCACATTTGAATTAAAGTAATAATATGAATCAGTACGGAGTTATTCAACCAGGGGATTGAACCACAGCTCATTAATTGCGTTTTATTTTCCTCTGACGTTGCTGGTGCACTGTCCGAAGTAACGAAACGTGACCGCTAAAACGGAAAATTTGACTATTGAAACACCTGTTGATCCAGTTAAAGTAAGTAATAATAGTTGAAGGAGTCTTACGCGTGCCGCAGCTGATAGCGCACTCTAATCTCCCTATGTTGCTGTACACCACATTGTCACTTCCGCATACTGGATTGTACTGTGCGGTCACCTGGAGGAACCAATGCTCTGAATAAATGATGGATAAAACGGGAAAGGGAGTGTGATGTATCAAACTCGAGGATCGATTTAAAAACGTCATTCATATTATTTCGACTGGTGTCAGCGCAGACCAGGAAGCTGACAAAAACCGGTTATTAATTAACACGTCAGGCGGGCTGACGCAGCCTTCTAAGGACCGGATGTCATCATCTCAAGAGTTACATTTAGCGACGAGAATGTAAATACCAGAAAATGTCAACATCAGTCTACATATTTGCGATTTGTTGAAAAGAATTTTTTAAATCCCAATGGAATTCCAATTAACGCTTTTCCAACGAATCCCAAATTGATTAATTCCAATATTAAAGACTATTAATCAATTAATTAATTAATTGTTCGTTACGTATGATTAAACAATTTTCATTAAAGTCGACATATTTATTATAATGCAAAAAATGAGAAAATTAGAAAAAAGATGTGGAGATGCTTCAAATCCTAGAAATCTAAATCTAAATGAAAAACAGCCAGATGTGATTCCAATAGAGGATTGGAATGAATTAATTGCAAATCAACTCGTATCAATATTAATCAATTAATTACTGTATTCATTTCGTATGATTAAAATGTTTTCATTAAAATCGATGTTTTTATTAATATTCAACAAAAATATTGTTTTGTTGAGTGAGATGCTCCACACTGAGTAAAAAAATTATTACTGTCGAGTATTCAATGAATAGGAAGTTATGTTTTTTTAACCATTTAGCTATGAATAATACTGAATTATTTACCGGACAATTCTGCATGCATCGAGCCATCGCTGGCGATGGCGTTGTGGTGGTGGTGCCACTCGTGTCCCGTGGGTTTGGCGATGGTTCTGTGGGGTTCAAGGGTGGAAAATCGCGAGGAATGCGACCGTCGTCATTGGGAAATTTGTCCGGCCTGTCTGCTGGACCGTCGAATACAAATCCATCGGCCTCTACTATGTCATTCTGAAAATTTAATATTTGCACGATGCTAATTACCATTAATATTTGTATGGTATTAATTAACACGTGTTCTGGAGCACAACCTCTCATTTTTTATACAGGGTGACCCTACATAGGCGGCCAAAACATTAAGGGATGAAAGAGGATGAAATTTTGAGTGAAAGCCTCCTCTTCAACTTTTGCCTCCAGGCGATAGTTAACGAGTTATTAATTATTGAAGTTCATCAATTACACAGGTGATGGGCTGGATTTACTATGACGTAGGCACTGGTAGACCACTTTTTTAAGAACTTCAGCAACGTCTCGGTTAACTTCATCGTTACAATCAAAATTATTTTCATAACAATTTAATTTCTGCATCAAAGAAAGAGCGATGGAGAGGAGGGGGGGAGGGGGGGGGGATCAGTTCAGATCCATTTAATAGATTCAAATGAACTCAAAATAATAATTCGGTAATTATCGCCCGAAGTCCAAAGTCGAAGGGAAAATTTCATCTCAGAATTTCTCCCTCTTTCATCCCTTGAAATTTTTGTTACTTTTTTTGGAGACCTAGCGTAAAACATCGGGGTAGGCGAAATGGAAGGTTTTGAGGTGATGTTTTTATGTTGACGTAAAATGTTTAAACTTACCTGCGGCCGCGCACGCGTGGGAGTTGACGTAAAAATCAGTAACATACCTGGAAAACAATATAATTTTTATGACTTCGAATAATTCCTACAAGTTCCACTATTTTCTCACTAACAGCAATGTTCTGAATGGTTTTCAATAACTCTTTGGATGACAATTAGCTCGGAAATGCATTTAATTATTTCAATTTCGCAAACGATTAATCAAAATACTTTTCAAATAAAAATGAGCTTGAAAATTCATTGAATTATTACCTCCACAAGTAATTCATCAAATGATCCGATAAATTTAGAGAAAAAGAAGGAATGAGTCGGTAAATTATCTAAATTAAAAATTAAAGAAGATATGAATCCCGTCCTCAGAAAACAATATAATTTTTACGACTCATTCTCAGCAATTTTATTATTTCCTCACTAATATCTGTGTTTTAAATGTTTTTTAATAATTCATTGGATGGTAATTAGCTCGGAAATCTATTTAATTATTCTAATTTCACAAACAATTAATCAAAACATTTTTCAAGTAAAAAAAGTTTCGAAATTCATTAAATTATTACTTATACAAGCAATTGATCAACTCAAGTAAAAAATTTAGGTAAAAGAAATGAATAACCCTGTAAATTGTTCAAATTACCAATTAAGGCAGATGTGAATCCCATTTTTTCCATTTTGAAACTAAATTGTATAAAAATACTCAATAAATAATTATCAATAGTCGAGATCGACAAGTCTCAATATCGAATTAGACACGACACGATAGTAATCCACCGAAGTTGCCCGATCCACTGGCATTGGAAACAGTGACACCTCAGCTTTTATAGGAATTCACCAGCTCAGAGCCGAGGGCAATGACGAGGTTGAAATACGTACCGGGTAAACTGTGGGACATCAACTCACTGGACATCCATATCATTTTCATTCCACTACTTTTATTCTTAGACCGCACACACACTTGTCGGTTCAAACCAACGTCTTTCATTATGATAAATGATTCTAGTTCGTCATTAAGTGAATCATTTGTTTTCATTTTCCTATATTTTTTTTCGCGAAATTCCACTGACGTATTTTCCTATTTTCCGCGATTTTTTACATTTTTCATTGACTCGAGGTGAACGCATTTGAGAGCATGTCGAGGTGCACGTACAAATGTCATAAAATCTACAGAAAATTTCATAATTTTTTCTTCATTTTTATTTTTTTCATATATTTAATTTTTTCTATTAATTATAAGCGAGTCGAATTTATATAAAATTCCAATCGAAATTCAGGTGAATTTTCCAGCGAAAGGACAACGTATTTTTTTATAGAATTTATGATGTTTCATAATTGAATAAAAAGTCGAGGAAAATTTTTCTTTTTGACAGAAACTGGAAGTGTTAATTTCCAGAGGCTCAAGGTGAAGGCCATCGTCACATTCATATAAAAAATGTCTTTCTGCAAAATCACTGGATAGTGACTCGTAAAACGCCCGGGAAATCCCTCCCAGACGAGACCTGAACTCTTTCATTGAATGACAAGTTATACTTACGAATGAATGAGTCGAGATGATCTTGGCCATGAAGAAAGAGAGCAGGGAATCCCCTCTACGTTCGGCCTCCAGTGGAAGCAGTCGCATTTGCAGTTGAAATGTGTCACACACGTTCAATAGAATTTTCCAAATTCATCACATTCGATGCAAAAGGATTCAGACATTCAATGTAATGCATTTTCTCATTGAAAATCTATCACAAAAAATATCTAATAGTAAAATAAAAATATCTCCATCTATTTGTCAAACTTTTCAAAATTATATTTTTTTTGTAAAGAATTTTCTACCAAATTTTTGGGACTTACTATTGAATTGTTTTCAAAATTACAAACTAATCTCACAATAAACGAATTCTATATTTTGCTGAAATTAACAGTCATTTATTCACCTCAAGAATAATGGAAAAAATTGCGATAACATTTTATTCCATCCATATCATCATATTACAAAATAATTATAAACTTATAAGGAAAAATAACTCATACATTTTCAATTAATATTCTTCCGTTATTCCCAATCGATTGAAGAGGGAGAGAAACTGAATGACGGGCCTCAGGTATTCATATTACTCCCGTATCACCCGTTAAATTTTCACGAGTTTGATTCACTGTGACAGACATATTGAATCTATACATTACATCAATATATAATCATTTTTCAAATAACACGTATTGGATATTTCAATTATTTTTCATATTTCATTATACCTATATAACTTTTTTTATATCCTGTTTATCACCACCGTTGAATCAGCATTTATATACACTCGAAATATACTATATGTATGTTTTATGTTTAATTACACACTCTGACTAATTTTTCATCAATTTATTTTCACCTCCACAGTGTCATTTTTGTTATTGCGTATCATTTTTTATACTTTCTTCAGTCGTTTATCACCTCATTTACATTCGTTATTCTTGAAACTAGGGGAAAAATAAAGCTGATAATTGAAAGAAAAACAGGAGGGACTCGCGATATCTCAATTAACGTGGGAGTCCGTTATTCTTACCATACTTTAGTGCACCTCCGCCGTTTTATGAGTTGAGGATGTCATGAGGTTTTCACATTAAAAAAATTAGTTTTTTCATCATCAAAAGCATTAAATAAGTAATTAAAATTGATAATGTTTAAATAGGTGACTGAAACCTTACGGTATCGAAGGGGGTGACATTCTGAGTCGAAAGTTGCTCTTTACCGTTTGTCTCTGGGCGATAATTAGCGAGTTATTAATTAGTGAAGTTCAAAAATGACGGCGGCGTTGGGCGAAGAGGGCGAGGGGGCGGGTTCCTCTGAAAGGGATATCAAAGGTGTTGACCTCTTGAGTTTATTTGGATTCGCTAAATGTACCTGAACTAATCCCCTCCCCCCTCGCCGCCACTCCTTCTTTAATTAAAATAGAAATTGAATTGTTATGAAAATAATTTTAACTGTAACGACGCAGTTGCCGAAATTTCGCTGAAGTTCTTGAAAAAATCCGGAGGCAAAGTTGAGCGGAGCTTTCGCCTCAGAATTTCATCCTCTCAAAATAGAAACAATAATATTCTAAATAATGTTGGGGAATATTCATGACATCCTTCATTAAAATGACCCGATCACACCAGATTTTCAAGAAAATTTGGTAAATATACCGTGCGTTTAGGCTATTTGGAAAAAACGCCATCATTTTCTTAATTTCGTGTTTATTCTCAATGAAAAATAGCTGGAGATATAATATTTAACACGAAATCTCATGGGAGAATAATAATTCCTTGATAACGATCAGGAAATTATTAATTCGGGCTCCTGAAAATATATTCCCAAAATGAACATTTTTATTTAATCGGTAACCCAAACAATCTATATAAAGTATCCGCAGTGGCTAAAAATAGAACAAAAAATATAAATCGCGGATTGCGGTATGTTTCGTAATTATGTTAATATTCATCCTCGTGACCTTGGGCAAATGAAACTGTAGCGATCGGATCACTTTAACTTGTTGTGAGAGATGGTGATGCAAACTTACCGTCTCAAAATGCTTGAAAAAACATTCTCCAGAAATTGGAGAAGCAAGCCTCGAAATTTCAGGCACAATGAGAGCAATTTAACTGTCTGAAATGAGGAAATGAATGAAAATATTCAAAAATAATGTCATGACACTGATAGGACAGTCTGAATAACTATATAAAGAGGGTGTTTTCATCTCCTCATTTCATTTTAAAGGACTTCCTTCTGTTTCGTGGATACATACGTCGTGACGCGTGTACAACAGTCATTATTATGCAAGGATACACTAGAACACAAATATTGTTCCTCATCCAGCCTAATGAATTCTTGAGACTAACGAACGAGGTGGGAATGTACGTGAGTGACTCGAGGTGGAATTTTCAACCCTATATTCTAATCTAGGGGATTAGACAGAAAAATGATTTGCTTGGACCAAGTTGCGGGATCCTTGATATGAGCAGGAATTGATTCAATTAGATTTTGTAACTGCATTCATGTTGGATCCGACCTGATTCAGATCGGGTCAGAATTGATTCAAGTTGATTCTGCTTATTGATTCATGTTGGGTCCGATTTGATTTGAGTAGATTTTGTGACTTGATTCAGGTCGCGTCAGAATTGATTCAAGTAGAGTCTGTGACTTGATTCGTGTCGCGTCTGACTTGATTCACAAAGATTTTGTCACTTGATTCGTGTCCGACTTGATTTAGGTCAGGTCGCAATTGATTCAAGTTGATTCTGCGACTTGATTCATATCAAGTTTGACTTGCTTTAAGTAGATTCTGCGACTTGATTCATATCGGGCCCGACTTGATTTAAGTAGGTTTTCTGATTTGATTCACGTCGGGTCGGACTTTTGATTCAGGTCGAGTCCGACTTGATTCACAGCAGGTCAGAATTGATTCAAGTAGATTCTAAAATTTGAATCAGATGGAATCTAATTCAATTGAAATGGATTTTGTGATTTGATTCAGGTCGGGTCCTATTTAAAATTCTCTACTTTCGACGCACTGAGAATTTATCAATTTTTTTTTTCATTCCAACTTTCGAATTTTTATGGTTAAATCCAAAATGAGACCAAATTCATCCAAATCTTATCGTTTGATTAACAGATATTACAAATACAATAACATCCATCTCGCCTCACCCTCCCTCCATGTCCTAATCCGAATAGTCACTAGGATATTTGTTTAATTTAACGGTGTGCGAGAGATAACAGTTTGGGATTTTGAAAAGTGCGCCCATATTCAGCTGGTGTTAATTCTAATCAAGGGTGACTAGAGTATGGTATCCATTCTATCGATCACTTGGATAATTATAATCTGCCAATCACGAGATTTCTATATCGAGCAAGCCAGTACTAATAGGTTTTATTTAAAAATTGATACAAGGATGTAACATTCAGAGAAAAATATAGTACCTATGCATTTCTCGTACTCCATATTCAATCTTTTTTTTTTATATTTTTTTATTATTATTTTGTTTTGTTATTTGTTATATAGTTCTCCAGGTCTACGGGACACTGAAAATTGTGTGACTAGTAGTCGTCTTGCTAATTAGCGATGAAAATTTATACTGACGACAGAAGTATTTTTATTTATTTATTTATTTATTTATTCAGTTTTCGGTAACGGTAATACTGATGTAGGCTTTCGTAAAGGACTCGTCTGCGTTTTATTTTCTCATTATTGCATCAAATTTTTCAGAATTTCAGTGCAACATTTTTTTTTAGAAATTTTTTTTTTAGTTCATATTCTCAGAGAAGTTTCTAATTTTCCATGAAATAAACTTGTTTCTGGGTTGATTTTTCGGATTAGTCTAAAATAGTCCAACTCTTGGAATGTTGAAAGGATATCCTAATGTTTACAGCACTACTGGGTATCTGCAAACATAATTGTTATCGTGTCAAATTTTAGATTATATATACGACATCTATTTTGATTTCAGTGAGGAAGTGGTTAAACGACATGAGTCGGTATGAATTAAAGATTAGTTTGTTGAAGAATGCACCGAAAAAATAGATGGAAAAATCTCGCGGATTCACTAGGAAATGTGTGTCGGTGTGAAGGGAGTGGGAGACGCCCCAGTGTGTGAGTCCGCCATTGGGAACGCGTGGTGGCGCACGCACATTACTACAAAATGGCAATAAGTGGGGAGACGCTTGTCCCGGGAATGGGTTTATTCTCACAAAATGAAGTGACTAACCTTCAGATTGAATTCTCACGTCTTGTTTCACTACTTCAGTACTGACGTTGCACTGAGAGAAAAAATGAGTTCCGCCGAAAAATTATGTTCCCCTGAAGTGATGTTTTCTCGGGTTGAATCAATTTGTGGATAAAAAAGACAACTTCCATCAAAACATGATAGTTTCAAGAGGAATCTACATCTTTCTTTCCGGAAACTGTTATTGGCAAAACTAAATAATTTCGAACAGAATTTTTTTGGGAAAAAATATTCGTTCGTCGTCAATGTATTCTTTCTGTTCGAATTCTTCCAGGGACATTTCTAAATTTTCTTCTATCAAGTTGGTTAATTTCCCTCAAGTAAATCTGCTCCGCTCCATCAAATATTCTCGCGTGGAACTTACAGTTCTTCGGCAGAGCAAATTTTTTCTCTCAGTGAGCAATGAGTAATTGAAACGCTCAAGCACTCACCGAATTTTGTCGTTGAGTCATTGTTAAGCCCGATCCTCTCGATATGATCAAGCACTTCATTCATCATATTCTCATTACTTCCAAGACTCTCAGGCGACCACCTCTTCCCCCTGACGCCGATGAATTTACCCCTCAATTCCCAATTCGGAATTTTCTTCTCTCTAAATTGGACGGGTTCGTCCCCTGATCGCTTAACAAAATGAATCTCATCATCGAAGAATCTTGAGCCTGAAATGTCAAATTTCCATCCCAATATTTTCACTCTCTCATCCGTAAATCAACCACTAATATTTTTAATACGCGGTAACGATGAAGTTTCGTTCCCCCAAGTTGAGTAACTAGTTATGAATTATCTTTTGCTGACATTACATCACTGATTATTTATTGATGGAGCTGAGGGAGAACAGAACCGAAAGCAAGCCTCAATTATTCAGTGTTTGAAACATTTACGAAAATCCCGAAAGTTTGGTGAAATCGCTTTACAGAGATAAAATTTAAAAGAGAATAAATGTCTTTGCGTTCAAACTAGTTGAACATAGAACATTCACCACCCGAATGGAATCGAATGCATTTGACAACGGTTTGTTGATCGACATTTCCCGTGAATGCATTTTCTGAATAGTAGAAACCACAGTTTAACAAAAAATAAATTGAATAAATTATTTTGAAAAAAAAAACAAAAAAAATCTAAATTTTAATTTTTTTTCAAATTTTAAATCTCTAAAATTTGTTGTAAATTTCAGTTTTCGTTCTCTGGACATTTATGTATAAAAAGTAATATGTATTCATGAGTGAACGTCCGTATGGCTTTACAACCTCGCCTGGAAATTCGTCAAATAAGTTCAACTGAAAACGTTTAAAAAAAAATTCTCTTTTGAATAAAACGCGTCTTTTTTCTCGTGTAGCCCTTCCACCAGAAAATCTCCTGGTTTTCTCGTTCCCAGCGAAAAATATAGCAACAGAAATCAGGAGAAATGGCTCTCAAATTTAAGATTTGCTAGACTCTTTCATATGTTCGCACGAAATCTCGACGAAGAACATGAACACAAAATACTAACCTAGGAAATCCGCGGGCAGTCTGTCAAGGAATTCATTGTCGTCAGATCCATAAATATTAGCAGCATTTCTCTTCCCCCTCATTCCGACGAATCCCATGCTGGCCCGTTTGTCTCCGTCCTTCTTGCCTCGCATCCCTTGAAATCCCATAGGCGCTCTTTTCTCGTAATCAAGTGGATCCACGTACCCGCTGTAGTAGCCATCCAGTCTATCCTTCTTACCCCTCATTCCCTGAAAAACAAGGGGATCTCCACATTTTTATCATGGGTAAGGTTATTTCCTACAGATAAATCAACAATTTGCTTCCGAGTGGGTACAGTGGGGTAAAATTGGCTATCTTTAATCAGCAACTCGGGAACAGCAGAGTGGAAGTTCCATATTTTTTCTCAATTTTCAAGGCTTCTGCTTCCTACCGAAAGCTTTCTAAACGTGATTTTCTTTCTTAATTTTGGGTACACATACCCGGTAATATAAAACAGGAAAAAATTATATTTTTAAAAAATATCTGTATGTGTGTGAGAGAAAATGAATATTTAAGATAAGATTTCATTTAAACGATAACTGAACACTGCGATAGAGATTATAAATCCGTTAGCTTGCGATAATTAATCCACAACTAAATTAATTCAATATAACAAAAGATCTTTCCAGCGGAACATCATTTTTCGGCAGAGCTAATTTTTTCTCACAGTATACTATTCTCGGGTTTAAATATAAATAATTAAACGGGAGAATTTCTAGAATTTCTCCCACTTCTTTTCTCTGGATGTCAGCAGAGAGGAGAAGGGGGCGTGAGTGGTGGGGGTGAGGTACTGAGTGAGTGAGCTATTGAAACACTGCGCAATGTGACGCGCATGACGGGAAAAAAGGGTGGAGAGTACATCCAGAGTGGGAGAACTCTTTCGGGGGACAACAGGCCTAGAGGAGAGTTCGCGAAAAATTATCGAAGCGGCAAAAGGACACAAAATTAATAATAATTAATTCAATTTATG